CTAAAAATATTAAAATTTTGTGTTTATGTGAACAGTTGTGGAAGTCGCTGTAAATCATTACAAAGGAACATCATATTCCGAATCATCTTCATCACTTATTACATTTTATTGTATAATTTCAAATGCAATTTAAAAAAATATTTAAAAAAATTCTTAAAAATAGTATTTATGTTTATATCCCAGGAAAAACTTACATTGAAAAGTAATGAGTTAAAAAGCTAATAAAACCTCACTTTTTCATTAGCATTTTAAGTCATTATTTTAACACGGTGATGTCATTGGAGGCAAGAAGTACTTGCGCACGCTTACAAATAGGGAGTTAAAGAAGTACTTGCAATTTCTCTTATAAAAAAAAAAGAGCCAGCTAGAATACGAACCAGGGACTTTAATTTGTTAGTCAAATGTTCTACACACTGCACCACTGCTTAGCTATTTTATTGCGCGTCATATAATGGTTTTCACAAACAAAACTAATTTTGTTTTATTTTTTGTAAAACACAATTCTTAAAACGCAATTAAATAAAATGTGGAAACAAAATGACAAAGCCGAAAATAAAGTACTTCTATATCAGATTATAAGAAAGTCTTTACTAGAGTACTTCTAAGTAATGCAGACGATAAGTAGTAGTCGTTGAAAAGTAAGTGGTTATGGAAGTACAACCCATTACCGAGTTTGTGCTGGGATGTTATATTTGAAAAAATTGCACATCATTGTCAAAATAACTCAAATTCAGCGCATTAAATGCATACCATTAGATTTATTTTCAAAAATTTTTAAAATACACAGTAAGAAATTTCTTTTCAGTATTTTTTTTAACTTGTTGTTTATAGTTTTTGAAAAATCGCGAATTAGTAAAATTTAAGAAAAAACTGTTAATATCCGAATTCTACGAGCTTGATTTATAAGGGATTGCAAATAAAAAAATAATAGTTTGAAGGTATTAAATATTTATAGAGTGATGCTTTTTGATGCTAGGTACATTTTATTTGTCCCACAAAACCTACAATTATTTTACTTTTTTGATGCGCACCAGTTTTACATTAAAGTATTAAGAAATGGGGATAATTTCGACGAATTATAAGTCGATGTTTGATATATAAAACCGCAAAAATAAAAAAAATTAAATTTTGCAAAATTTTTAAAGAGTTCATAAAATTTTTGCATTCGAATATCCTCCGATTTTATAGTTCAAAATAACAAAAAACTAAATTTACGCAATAATTCAAATTATTTCCTATATAAGTGCGAATGTGCCGCGCCAAAAACTGATATTTTAAAAAAATTACGTTCAAGTTTTTCAACTTTTGTAGCTGTCGTACCCATCTCCAATTCAGGGCACTTTAACGAGATATATACCATACGATGTATAATTATATCAGCTAACCACTGTTGTCCCAATTTTTGTATTTTATTAAGGGGCGTCATCGCCCAGTCAAAAAAAAAAAACTTTAAAAAATTGGAAAAAACCTGGTGACAAATTTTAACATCCAAGTTCTAATCCACACGGTTAAGCTTGTAAAGAATTTAACTCCTAAGTGTCTTTAGTTAGTACAATATTAGTGTTCAAAAGTTGAAAGCTATGGACAAAAACATAAAAAGAAGACGGAGAAATTAGTTAGTGACACACTTTTTTTTTAATTTTGTAAACTTCCAAAACCGATTACGTTTAGAAATAAGATCTAGAGTTTTACAATTTTTAGGCTGGAAGTCTTGTTTATTTGACATTTTATTCTTACCAAAATTATTAACAATTTAGTTCAATTTCAAAGGTCTATTATTATACCCAACATCAAAAAAGATGGGGAGTATATTAATTTTGTCATTTCGTTTGTAACACATCGAAATATTGGTCATAGACCCACAAAAGTATATATATTCTGGGTCCTTATTAATTTCTAAAACTATCTAGTCATGTCCGTCCGTCTGTCTCTCTGTCGAAAGCACGATAGATCCGAACGGAACGAGCTAGAGGAAATTTTCCACAAATATTCTGTATAGGTAAGGTTTGTTTGGTATGGAAATTAGGCAATATCGGTCCACGTTTTCGGATAGCCCCCATACAACATAACCCCCCGAAAAGGGCTTCTGAGCTCATAATTATGTTAAATATACCTGTATATCGATAAAGTTGTATACAAGTCTTGATGACCTTGCCAAATTTCATAAAGATCGGGCCCCATTTGACCCTAGCTCCCATACAAAGTCCCCTTCAGAAAATTACTTGAATGCCTAAAATTAACTTATAAACACAAATATCGCGATGAAATTCAGCACAAATAAATATTATATAAATATAAATACATCCACAAAACTTTATCGAGCTTGGTTCATATTTGCCCCTAGCTCCCCACATAAAGCCTCTTTCAGAAAATTAGTTTTTCATCCATAAATTGCTTAAATGTATCGGAACAAGGGAATATTGAAGATAAATGTTTTATTATGAAAAATAAATCACATTTAATATTCATAACTGGTGTAGAGTACGTCACGCCCGACTATACTTTCTTACTTGTTTTTTAATTAAGAATATACCGTAGATCTACAAAAGAATACTATATATTCTGGGTCCGTTTTAGGATGATCTGTAAAACATTATAGGGCACAACCAGAGGAGCCTCTAGAAATTTCTATTGATTCAGTTTGCTTTTAATTGAAGGAAGGCAATAATGGTATCAGAGTTATTTTTATTCTTAGAAGGTTATATGCTACTATTTACCATAAAGTGAGGATGAGAATTGCACACGCCCTGCTTATGCCCTTAATATTATATGGTATTGAGATATATTACTTAACAAGCGATAATAACTTTTGCAGATTGAAGAAATGCTTTACAAGTATTGTGAGATATGTGTATCATCTTGGATCTCATGATCATGTAACAGCGCATGTAATTGATTTTTGTAAAGTTACTTACACTGTTTTATAAAACAATGAAATGTAACACACCTTCATATCTTGCATCAAGATTTGAATTTTTGAATTCGGCTAGGACATCCTCACTTAAAATACCAAGTTTTAATTTTTTGGTTATGAAAAGATCATTTCATTTGAGAGTGGCTCGATTATGGAATGCTATTATACCATATAGCGAAAGACATTTTTCCAAGTCCGTTAAACAATTTTCTAGTTTTGTAATGGATCATATTTAGACTATGTGTTTCATTGTTATCACCAACATGTAATTATTAACAATTACATTTAGAATATACCCAAATTTGTGTTAATTGTTATAATTAACATTTATATAAAATAATTATTAATACATATTAATATATAAGTTTGAATTGTGCTTACAATATATTTATCTAGTAATCAATTTGTAAGGAGGCTTTAGATTACTTTCAATAAATGGAAATAAATAAATAAATAACACTTTCAAAATAGCAGTAAGAGTAATCACTTTATAAAATTCTGTTGCCTTCGGTTCATAATAGTAAGTGTTAAGTAATTTAGTTAATCTTAATCCCCAATGAAGGGAACTTATAAATTTGAATTACTTTTCCAAATACTATTGTAAGACCCTATATTAGACTTTAACTCTGTCCAAACCGGTGTCCCAAGATTTATTTTACATTTTCCTCTATTTGGAGCGTAATTTTGAGTCCACGGCTACAGTAAATGATTATTTCTAAAGAAAAGTAAGTTATTTTTTAGAATTTGATGTCACTACATGCTAAAGAGGATAATATCCTGCGATATCCTTCGAAAACACTTTTTCCATGTTTCATCAAAAAGGATAAATATACGTCAAAATCAAGTGTGTAGAGAAGTCATATTCATAAAAACTCCAGTGGTTTAGTTTTGTGCGTGAAAGGGTTTATAGACCTTATTATTATGATTTGCTGACATTACTATAAGATTCGGTTCGTTTTTTTAATTTTTGTTAGTTTTAATAAATTTTTTATTAATAGCGATATAAATATCGAAATATTACTTTTATACCGGTGTACCGATACCGTTATAATTTAAATACTGTTACCGAAAACGAAATAATAAAAAATTTAATACCGATACCGTTACTCGTTTCGGTTGCCAACCTTGCAAAAAAGGTGTTTTCCATTTTCTGCATTCCTTTACCAAATATAGCTTATAGTGTCATGAGCAAAATATAAATAATTCACATCATTTTCATACAAAACTTTGAAAATAACACTGTGCAACAAGAAAATCTTTCCCAAATCAGTAGACTAAAATGCCCAAAGGGTTTGAAAAAATTAGCTCGAGTTTTTAATTTGTAGGCATTTAAAGTTTTGCAATTTTATGAAAAATTTTCCCATATATGTATGTAATATATGTAACAAATTCTTAATTATTATAAATTATAATTTGTAATAATTAAGAATTCGTTACAACCGAGTTTGACTGTATGTTAAATATACCTATATTTTTTCAAAAACAAAAATACAACGAAACACGTTTTATAGGCACCGATGTGTCTGCGATATTTCTCATTTAACCTCACTTATAAATACTAATAACGTGATGAAATTCAACATAAATAAATTCATTGTGCATAAATAAATCCAAATTTTATATGGGTCGGTACATATTTTCCCCAATACCACATTTGAAGCCTCTTTCACAAAAAACATAAATGATTTATTAAATTATTCTTACAACTGTAGAGTATCATATGTTCGGCCACACATAACTACATCTCTTTCCCCATTTTTAACTGTGTTTTCATTTGTAAGGATATGTTTGGTTTATAAAAGCGAAAAGTATGCAATCGCATTTTTAGATGTGATTAAGATGTCGTTTGTAAAGTATGACATCAATTATTTTTTGCTGGGTAATAGAAAAATATGTATATGATTTGGATAAGGAATATATACATATGTATGTGGCCTCCAAAAACTGATTTTTATAAACAGACGGACAGAAAAAATAATAACGTGGTTTTTAATTTTTTTTATTTTCTATTTGACTATGCTATGTCAACTTGCTTATTTGCAAAAATGTCAATAATTATATCCCTAAAATTCATTAGTTAACTTACGGTTTATCACTTCCGGCAGAACAAACACATTGCAATGATGTCAAAGCGTAGCGTTCGCTAAGTATTACTGCGCCACAGGTTGGTAAACCAGCTATAGAAAGAGCTGCTTGGTATGGTATTTGTCCCAATATCGCATCATCTCCACCCACAATACGACTCTGAGGAGCACATAAACATCCAGCTATTGTGGTAAATAAATAAGAAATCAAAGTAAATGCTTTCATTTTCCAATTGAAACTATAACATATTTGAAAAAAGACGTATATATAAACTAATTTAAAATCAAAAAAATCAATACAAATGCCACTTCACTTATCTCATAGCGATATTGAACTAAAAATAGAAAAACAAAAATACCAAAAATTGTGTGATAATTTAACAATATGTGAATTTATGCATATGTATGTACATTAGGGTTTAACCAAAATTAGACCTCATCACTATGTGGTAGCCAGTAGTGTTCTGAAAACAAAAATTATTTTTCTCGTGCCATTTACATAGGTGAAAATACTCGGGAAAAAGTGAACTACGTTTTTGACATACATACATACATACATACATACATACATACATACATACATACATACATACATACATACATACATACATACATACATACATACATACATACATACATACATACATACATACATACATACATACATACATACATACATACATACATACATACATACAAACACATACATACATACAAAAGTAGCACTAATTGAATTTTTTTACCTTCTGAGGAAGTGATGTTTAACGACTTCCGAAAAGTGGAAATAATTCTATTTTTTCAATGTTAAAGATATATTTTTTATTCTTACATTTTTATGAGATAATAAATATTATTTTTGGGCTTTTGTATTAAATATTTCTATTAACCTTAATAATGTTAATATTATTTAGGTCAAATTAATTGTATTCAATAATACTACAATATCACTTCCGAATAACTTCCAAAAAAGAACATACAAATTATTTCCTATCAGTGTTGCCACAACAAAATTTTTTCTCTAACCAAAATTCGAATAAAAAATAACCAAATTAAGAAAAAAGTAAAAAAAAAAATATTTTTATTTGTTTCATGTGAAATTCTAGAAATGTCTGAGGTTGTTAACAGCAGAACAATGAAGAAAAAACTATATAGTTCATCTTAGAATTATAAGGAAGTGCTTCAGTAGTTCTTGAGCAACATAAATAATAATGATGTCATAATAGAGGCACTACAACGTATGGAATTGTATAATAGAGTGCCGGAATCCATTGAGAAGCCAAAGGATTTTGCGATGGAAATCGAGCGTTTGCTTATTTATCCAGAGGAAAATCATCCGTTCAAAGCCATAAATATTCAAGGTGCGATTTTTTTTCATTTATCCAGGGGGAAATCATCCGTTCAACTAAAAAACTAAATTTACAATGAATCTTAATTTTTGTCCGATAACTGACTTATAAATTTAAGCATAAACGGGTATTGACGTACGAGGTAATAGTAGAAAATCGGGTTAGAAAACATATATCTAACTAATTTTATAGAAAACATTACCCTGAAAAAATACCCCAAATTTCAAGTCGATACGATATATAGATCTCGAGATATATCACTTCGAAAATTAAAAACATTACCCGGGTATGTGGCTTGTGGTATTGACATAACGGTTAAACTTTTGAGAACTAATTTGTCTGTTTATCCATTCAATTTTTTATTTTATAAAAGGTTTATAAAACAAAATTTCCATACAAAATCTAATTTATAAACCGTTTATAAAATAAAAAGTTTGTGAATAAGGGGGTAAATGTTTTGATACAATGCACATTGGGGTCTCCTTTAAGTAAACTTGGCATAAAGTAAATATTTAGAAATGAGTTTTTTGATAAAAATTTAATATGCCTGGAAAGCTAAGACTTTATTCTATATAACTCTATCATTAGTTTTCCCATTTTTATTGTATAGGCCTTTAGATGATGCAGCAAAGTTTATGTTTTTATTTTTTTATTTTATATTTTTCAAGAAATTTTTTTAATTTAATTTAATACCATAACATTTTTTGTACGAATCTACCATTTAATATAAAATTTCTTAAAATTTTCTTTTTCGATACCAAATATACCATTGATATGTATGAAAAGGTGTTGTTTTAAATCATCTTTACAGCCAGAGACTTAATTATTAACGCCTTCTTAAAATGCAATTTTTTATAGATATTTATTTTTTTTTCAATTTTTAAAAGTGAAAAAGTACAATTTGGCCACTGATGGCCTCTAAGCGACCATATGCTAAAGATACTCTGAAATCTTCTCAATAACACCAAAATAAAAATGTTTGCCTCTTTTTGTCTCTGCGGCATTTACGCTCTCTTTTCTAACACTCTATGCTTTGAAAATATTTATATTTTATTTAAAATCTAAATATTGAATGCGAAATGAATTGATTTAAGTAATAAGTAAAATAGTAGAAACTTCGTATAATTCAAACTATAAATCTTTACTTTACACCACAAACCTTACCGTTAGCAATACAAATCTTACTGTCAAACACGAACTACATCTTACAATGGCTGATGTGAAAATATGTAACACTCTTACTAATACAAATTACACCCAATCGTGTTTTATTTGTAAAGCTCGTGTTTTATTTGTAAAGATTTCAACAATATTGAGAAAATGTTAAATTTACCCACAGTATGGACTCTCTATTCTACATGCGTGGATCAAATGTTACGAATGTTTATTGCATCTAGCATATAGGCTTCAAAAAAACGACTGGCAAAAGGAGAGTGTAAAGTTAGTTTGGAGGCCAATAAAAATAGAATACAGGAGGAATTTAAAAAAGAGTGTGGTCTTCATATAGACAAACCCAAACCTGGGGCTGGAAACTATAACGATGGCAACACAGCTCGAAGATTTTTTCAAAATTATGAGATTACTGCACGAATTACCAAATTAGACGTCGACATTATTAAAAATATTTATATAATATTGGCTGTTCTTTCCGGAAAACATAAAATCAAAATTGAGGAATTTAAAGACTTTTGTACGAAAACCGCAAAATTGTTTGTAGAAAAATATAACTGGTTTTGGATGTCACCAACTTTACATAAAATTTTAATTCACAGCAGCAAAGTTGTACAAAATTCAAAATTAAGCGTAGCAGATATGTCAGAAGAAGCTCAAGAAGCCACGAACAAACTATTCAAAAAAAAAAACCGAGAACAGAATTCCCGTAAATGCAGACGAATACAAAATATGAAAGATATTTTCAATTTTTTATTAATTAATTCGGATCCCTTTATAACTGTAAAAAGAACTTTCCCTAAAAAAAAAATTCAGAAATCTTCCAGAAGATGCATTAAATTTAGTCTTTCGCGAAAGTAATTAGGATATTTATAAATGTAATAAAAATATTTCTTAAATAAAATTTTGGAAAATTTTGTTTTGAAAATTATGCAAAAAAATTGCATTAAGTGCAACTTTTTCTTTTTTAATTCGTATCTAGAGGACTTCCTCTATCCATCGATACCCATAATTTATACCAAAACATTGTAGTTTAGTTGATGCCAAGTTTTGTTCAGGGAGACCCCACTGTGCGATGCAATGTATTGAATTTTACTATTAAAATGTTTAATATTTTATAAACTTGTTTCTAAATACACAAAATACTATATTTTGTGTCTACTTTTCATGAAGAAATATGTTAATAATTTTTTTAAACATATTGTGTTTAAATTTAAGCATTTTCTATAATTTTACTAATTTTCGTATCTATATGATACGAAAATTAGGAACAATTTGTAAAAACTTTTTGTTATTAAACAGACCTTATATTTTAATAAACTTTTAACAACAAAAATAAAGAAGAAGCGGCTGGTAGCAGTAATTTATTTAGGCTTCAACATTGACCGTTTCGGTTTAAGTATGAATAAAGATCGTATTTCATCAGTACTAGATGCGCCAGTCTCTAAAAATGTGTCGAAGATTGAAGCGTTTGTGGTGATGCTGAATTTATAATTTGTGGTGGTTCCAGTAAAGTTACGTGATAAAGTTTTGCGACAATTGCATTATTCGCATTTTGGGATTGCGAACACCAAAATCTCTATCTCGGTCGTATGTAGACCGTGTAAGATGAGCCAACCAAGTCCTGAGAAAAGTCCATTAATGCCGTGGAGGCTACGGATTCTCCTTGGTCTCGGCTCCATATTGATATTGCAGGTCCTATTAAAGCTTTTAATTTTCTTTTAATTATGGGTTGAAATATTTAATACAAAAAGCAGATATTTTAGTAAGTGATACTGTGGAAGAGTTTTAGGTTTTTATAAAGGCGAACAATATTAAACTTATTTTGACGGCTCCGGACCATCCGGCTTCAAATGGCCAAGCCGAAAATTGTGTTAAAACTTTTAAAAATAGTATTTTTGACCAATTTACGAGAAGGTGAAAATCTAGTTGAGATTATAAACACATTTTTGTTTAATTATAGAACAACAAAACATCGTACTGCCGGTGAGACTCCGGCTTAATTATTGTTACGCAAGGAGATAAAGATCCGCTGGACTAACATCAAGAATCATAAAGGGGCACGAAGTATTAATTTTGATACCGGTAAAAAGGTTTTTGTTCAAAAATTGCTGTGGTATTGCGCTATCGAGGTGTGATTTACCTTACAAAACCCTCAACATATGATGCAAGTTGATCATCTGTCAATCTAGTTCTTAAGCGAATTATAGTTTGCTGATATTTGTAATTAATAGAAATATTGTCCGTTCATATAAGCCTTGCAATCAAACTACACTTTAAATGGTTGATAGGGATCCATTCAGGTCGGTCACACATTTCGATCGAAATGGTTTCAATTCCGTATTATTCCGATTGATTTTGTTTTAGCTTCTCCAAATTCCGAAATATGTAGTTAGTTCAGAAAAAATTAAAATTATATTGATTTTATTTAAAATTTATTCTGTTTAGCTTGCCAAAACCAGAATAGTATTGTAGTATAGTTCTTTTTATTGAAACTTTACGAAAAAACTTTAATTACATACAAATTTCAATTCCACTTTATAAACTGAAAGTGGTTTCATTCCGAAAGAAATTTGTATTCACATCTAAATATATTACACATTTCCGTAAAGAATATAAAAGTGTGTATACTTTTTAAAAAGGACAAAGGAAACTCTTTTCAAAACAGTTGAAAAATATTAAATCGGTTAAGAAAATTTTGAGATATAATTTTTTTGGTCTGTCTAGTCAACAAAAAGCGTTTTTTTTCAATATCTTCCGATTTTTAGTGTATATTGAAGATTCTTAAAATGGTACTGTAGTCTACTCTACTAGACCTACCAACTTCACTAGGTCTCGCGATGAGTGTATTGATTTTTTGTAATTTTGTCACACCGTGTAATTATATCAAATATATTAGTATCTCACAAAAAAACGTCAAATTCTAAAAAATCAGTTTTTCAGCAATAAATAGCTTAAAAAGCACCTTTTAATATATAAGTTCGGAATTAAACATTTCAAAACAGTATATCTATTGTGAACAAAATTTTTTGACAAAAATTTCACTTAATTATAAGGAAAATAATTACCGGGAATTCGGGATTAAAAATTCTGTGGAATTCCCGTAAAAAACACTACCTAAAACACTACATTTTTATCGCAAAATGTTATTGAATATTTTGTTCATATATTATACATTTTTTACATTTAACGATTAATTTCAATTTTGTTGATGTCATCATAAATAAGGGTCCTCATTATATATTTTTCCTAAGTTTCATTTAAATCGGTTGAAAACAAAATAATATTTCACTATGGTTTCAAGAAAATTTCCCGATATTGCATAGCTTGTTTTTGACCTTCACATTTTATGGGTAAACATTATTGTTTGAAATTTTATATTCTGAAAATGTTTTGTACAATATGCATATTTTTTGAAAATTTTACGAAAAATTTGTTTCTCCGAAATTCTCAAAATTCAAATCACAGATACAGCTAATCTGTAAGAAATATCCAGCAAATTTTTACGACTATTTTATTCCCTTTTTTGTTGTCCATAATTTACATGGAGATTTTCTCAAAATTTCTAAAATTTGCTTAACAAAATTGTTAAGATTTTGAAACTGAAGTTTCGAATCTTACAAATTTGGTTTACGTTACCCAATTTAAGTTAATACCAATATATTTAATGGTTTTATTATAATATTTACCAAAATTTTCGTAGTCCTATCGCCTGATTTTTTTCCAGAAGGCATTAAGGCTTAAATCTAGAGGTGTGTAGATGTGAATTTTATTTTGATAATTTTTCTGAAAATGACTTACATACTTTAGGATTTATGCTTTTATGAAAGCAACCGGTGTCCGGTTAATTTTTCTCAATGTAGAGCGTAATTTTGAGTTCACAGCTAAAGTAAATGGTTATTTCGATAGAAAACTAAGTTCTTTTTATAGAATTTGATGGCTCTGCGGAAAACACTTTTAAATTTTTCATCAAAAATTATCAATATAGTCAAAATAAAGTGTGTAGTGAACTCATATTTACAAAAAATCCAGCCGTTTAGTTTTGTGCGTGAAAGGGTTAATCCGTTAATTCATAGAAATTATTGGGTTTATTTTAAATTTGGCATTTATTCTAACAAAATTTATCAATTAATCGATCAACGATTGATCATTTGAATACCCCAGACACTTGTGCCGACATGATTTAAAAAATGTCCACTTCAGAAGATTTTGGATCTGCCTCATCTCTAATTCCCTCCGAAGTATTCCGAGTTACTGTACGTGTACCTCGTTTTTGGCGTCAAAATACCAAGCTATGGTTTCGCCAGCTGTAATCCTAATTTGTAACTTCCGGAATTACTGCAGATACAACAAAATACCACACATTGGTTGGATCGACCCAGAGCAACATCCTAAACCATGTTAGTCATATTGTGGAAGCGCCCCCGGCAGAAAACAAATATAAAACTTTTAAATGTTCCATATTAAATGAATTTATTGAATCGGAAGAGAAAAGTTTTCGTCCACTTCTGGAAAACGTAAGTGTTGGCGGTAAAAAAAACATCCACACTTCTAAGTGAAATGCGTGCGTTGACTTCTGGCAAAGTTTCTGAAGAATTGCTCAAGACATTATGGATTCAACGTCTTCCATCTACGACAAAGGTAAAACTATGTTTAATAGCCGATAATATCCATGACCAGTATGATTCGGCAACATCAGTCAGCGCAGTTTCTGCAGATAATGATGAAATATTTTCTAACCTTAAAAATACAATTCAAGATATATTTTCCAAATTAGATGCACTTTCAATAGGAAATCGTAGCCGCTTCGAGAAATTTGTCAAGAAATCGAACTCGCTCTCCTTCTGAAAAATCATTTTGTTGGATCTAGAGCTACAAAATGTCGCCCACCATGTTCAAGATTTCGCATATATGCTTGCCGGTAAGAAAATATTTTCTAAAATCGACTTGGTTAAAGCATATTTTCAAATACCAGTTGAAGAAAGCGACATTCCTAAAACGGCCATTATAACTCCATTTGGGTTATTTGAGTTTACTCGAATGACATTCGTTCTTTGTAATGCCGCACAAACGTTCCAGCGGTTCATTAACAAAGTTTTACGTGGTTTTTCATATATTGATGATATTTTGGTAGCATCAAAAGATTATGAAGAGCCTGCGGACCACTTACGGCAAATTATCAACAGACTACGAGAGTATGAAGTGACAATAAATTGTGATAAATGCGAATTTGGTAAACCTGCTTTAAAATTTTTGCGATATTTTATTACTCAAGAGGGGCTGAAACCAAATCCTGGCATCTGGAATCTATTTACCCAAAACGACTTAAGCCGAATTCTAGGAACTTTGAATTTTTACCGACGTGCATATGATCGCGAACTACTAGCAGATTACTTTGGACTCAAACATTTCCAAAACTTCATTGAAGGGCATCAGTTCTGCATCTATATTGACCATAAGCAATTGGTTTTAGCATGTAAACAGAGATATGAAAAGGCATCGTTTGTCAGATATTTTGCCAATAATTATGTTGGGTCTAAAGTCTTCGATTAACCATGATCGAAATATTTCCCCCGCTGTATCAGTATATGGCAAGGAACTTACATTACCAGGTGAACTTTTAATAGATTTCAAAATAAGGAACTTTAACAATGAATGGATTAAACAACTTAAAGAAGACATGGATAACATTAAAGCCAAAAAGATTGCAAGACATGGTCAAGCCCGAAAGAGTAGCGAAAATGTTACAACAATATGATTTCGTGTTTATACGATATGATGGAGTTCGTCCATCTCTCCAACCTCCTTATAAAAAACCATTCCCTGTTATATCAAAAACCGAAAAACATTTGTGGTTGATGTTAATAGTAAACATAAGGCAATATCTGTAGATCGATTGAAACCCGCTGTTATTTCAAAAAACGGGGAAGAATTACAACATCGAGTACTTCGATCTGGTAGAACCGTACGAATAAATACCTGACGTTGTCACTGGAGGAGTAGTGATTTGAAATTTTGTTTTCAGAAGTTCTTTTATTTTAATTTTTGTTTTTTGAATTTATGAAATTGTATATGTATCTTTTAAGGTCCTAATATGTTATTTATGATTTATATACTGAATAACAAACTTAAACCTTTCTCACGAAAGTGAAAGGAATAAAAATTAAAATCATTATGCAATGTGCCACTGGCTTGAAATCTACTAGTTTTGTATAAAGCACTTCAAGGTGATTTTTAAAAGTTATAACCTTAGACACTACGCATATTGCATAAATCAATGTATTAAAGGCCTGCCCAAGACAACAATTTATTAAAATTGTTTTGTACCAAAATTTGATGCCCTGTTATGTTATGATGACGCACACGACAGAAAAATAAATAAATATATATATAAATATATAATACATAAGTAATTAGATTTTAAAGAATTAATTATTAATTTCATTTTATTTTTAGTTTAATAAAGACCATAAATCATATAATAAAGCAAAATGTTCCGGCGGACGACAATCGTATCATTCCTGGTATTATATACCTGTTATAAATCGAGTGCTCAGAGTGAAGCAATTAGCCCAATAAATACGATGGAATTAAAAGCAACATTATCTGAACCTCGAGCTTATATACCAGATGCACAATACTTGGATTTCGTTTATCATAATCATGAGGAGCTAACTAGATTTTTAAGGTTAATACTAAAAATAACATGTAAAAAGCTTCTATTATTTATATTTATTTATTCTTGCAGATCAACTAGCGCTCGTTATCCTAATTTAACAGCATTATATTCAATTGGCAAATCCATACAAGGCAAAGATCTTTGGGTATTAGTTGTTTCATCATCTCCTTACGAGCACATGGTTGGTAAGCCTGATGTGAAATACGTGGGTAATATTCATGGCAACGAGCCTGTCGGTCGCGAATTACTGCTACATTTAATTCAATATTTAGTAACAAGTTATGAAACTGATCAATATGTGAAATGGTTGCTTGACAATACTCGAATTCATATATTTCCCTCAATGAATCCTGACGGTTTTGCAGTTTCAAAGGAAGGTACTTGTGATGGAGGTCAAGGGAGGTATGAGAATAAAAAAATTGTACATTTATTTTTTTAAGTTATCAGTTTATACGCTCGTCTAAGTACGTAATACTTATTTCATAAATAATTTATATTGATTAGTTTAACCTGTCTATATTAAAATAACTTCAATAAATCAATGACAACTAGAAAATTTTTTTTGTAGGCAGGGTACGGATAGTAAATCGAATACAATTCGCTCACGAATGAATCTAAAATTTAAGTTTAAAAATTAAATTCGCGATAAGAGCAAAAACTTTAAAAAATCGGCTGAAATCTAATTTTTAAAAACTTCTTAAAACTTCAGTGCCGTTGCTTCACCTGTTAACGTTATCCTATCAGCATAATTTTATTTTGCTTAATATAATTAGTTTTGCAAAATTAATTTTTGTGGAGCCCTCTAATTTTGTATATCATTCAACCAAATTTGTTGTAGTTATAAATTTGTTAGGCTTAATTTTGCTTAATTTTGATTTTATATTTACGCTATATCCGATTTTTTTGTCGCTTACGTCTTTTTTGCCAAGACAAATTTTTATGATATAAACAACGTTGAAAAAAAATATTTTTTGGTGTATATCTTTTTATAATTCTCTTTTTAATTTAGATTTTGGGGTTAAAAAAAATTATGAATTTTTTGTTAAGAGCACATCACCGATATTTTGTTTGGGCATTGTCTAACATCTCAGAAGTACAATTATCTTCTCGTGAATAATTTTTAGCAAAACCCGCCAAAGTTATAGCGGTTTAAAGTTAACAGTTTAAAAAATTCCCAAAATTACGTTTTTACCTGAAACTCGAAATAACCCACAACGAAAGACCCAAAATACAAATAAATTTAACCCAAATATTTTAAATATTCGTGGATAAATTCGCTTTTTAAGAGTTTTTTCCAACCTCTTCAAAAAATATTATAATAAAACTAAGTACACAGTTTTTTATAAACTATTTAACATGATGAATTAATACATTCATTTACAATCATTAACTAAAAAATTATGCATTTATGTTTGGTAGATTAAAAATTATGAGGTTTTAATTTGTTTATGCGTATATTCGAATGCATTTTTTTAAAAATTGCATTAAATCCAGTTTGTATTTTTTCGAACGGCTTATAGATTTTGCTATAGACCTCATTAATAGCAACCTAAACGAATAAAATTTTACAGTTATTTTCGTTTATAGTCATCATTGTTATAATCACATTAGTGACATTGTCAATTTTATTAGATTTAAATGTCTCTATCGATCAATTTCATATAAAAATATTACATTATAGTCCATTTTTGATATAAGCACTTTTCACTATCCACTACTACAAAAAAATTTATCGTAAATTAACTAGTAACGGTCCAAATGAAGAAGTTTTTGTTAAAGAAAAACGATATTCGATTAAAGAAATTTTAAATTCAAATCCTCTAGCTAAAACATACTAAAATTATTGATTTTTTGAAGAATGTAAACAATATATGTATGTTTAATGTAATTTCTTTAATACCTAAACATGAATTTTAATTTTTTTTTTTTTCACAAAAAATTAATATACATATAAGATTTTCTTTATAAGATCATTGTGGCATATACAAAAAATTTTGTTTATAATCAATTTAGCGATATAGTCCTCAATTTGTGTGCAATTAAGGGTTGTGACTATAAGCGAAAAGTACTGTATTAATTTTAATTAGCGGAAAGAGTGTGCTTCACTATTTTTTCTTAAAAGAAAAACACTGCGTTTTCTGCACAAGAGAAACTTTTATGCAAATATTTTTGTGGTTAGCCAATAACTGCTTGTTTATAATTATCTTCTGCTTCCATTTCTGAATTTAAATGAGTATATAATACATATAAAAACCGTTAAAATGAAAATCTATATAAAGTTCGGAAATAAATTTAATACACATAGCCGAACTTTTTTCAATGCATTTAATGCATCATTGTCAGCTACCGATTAATGTTAAGTGTTACCAATTTTAATTAGTGGTTTAGGTGTGCTTCGTCGAATTGTCTTGTAACACAAGAAACATCGCGTTTTCAGCGAAAGAGAAATTTTGATGAAATTTCTTTTGCAGTTAACATATCCCAGCTTATTTACAATTAACTGCTTTTATCATTTTTAAATTTAAATGATGAATTAAATATTAGATATAAAAATTGCAATAAAAATAAGAAAATGTGTAATTGTTATGTTAATTTTGTGGCAAAATATTCGTTATTCTGATACTTTTAATAATAATTTAAAATTACATGTTATGTGTACAAGTTTAAAAAAAATATATACATATCTTTTAAAGTAAAAATATTTAATTAAATCTTTAATTATTTTCAAAATACATAGAGAACAGGAATTGGTTGTCAATTTTATAATTTTAATAAGAAAACAAATCATTCATCTAACTTTAATAAATTTCATTCTTAAAATCTTTAAATTTGATTTGTTTGAACTATAGTACAGTTGGCCCCAGAATATAGTTAAACCATTAATAAATATATTGTTTATGTAGCAATTGCTATAAAAATTCGCAGAAGTCAGTTTTATATACCTGTAAATTATGTTGGGAAGTATGACAGTTGTCAGGCAATATTTGACCCTATCCTCCATATATGGATCATTTAAGAAAATTACTTTATCACCATAGCTGACATAAAAATATCAGTATAGCAACGAAATTTGATGATGTTTTAGGATGGGTTCATATGCCCCTCATACAAAAATTAAGTTTACAGTTAATAAATCTTTCAAAAATTATGAAAGTATGATAACATTCTACAAAAATGAGATGTTTTCGAAACCAATCATTCGGTTAAATTCTATAGACCTCGGTCCACAATTGACCAAATCCCCCGTTAAAGGCCGTATTCTGAAAATCACACAGATGTCCATATTAATATATATACATGGTAGTACAATTCGCCATATATCGAATAAATAAGTAAATTCTGGTTGTATCGATTCATTAAGAGTCCATATATAGGTATATATATATATATATATATATATATATATATATATATATATATATATATATATATATATATATATATATATATATATATATATATATATATATATATATATAACAATTATACTCAGATATGTGGCATTTCATTCACAAACAAATTTAATACGTTAATTTGTTCAAAATTTTTCTATAAATTAAATATATTTTAAAAGAAAATTTAGACGTAACCGACACCTTGCTATTACAAAATTCATAAACAGAAAATAAATGTGTATGTACTTACATACGTCTTTTTTCTTTTTCTTTTAAAGTTGAAACTGATGGATCTATAGCTACGAAATTTTCAGTGATGATGCTTGTAGACCTAAATTATCGATTTCTATAAAAAACGAAAATCGAAAATCATGTCGCTTACGTCTATTTTGCAAAAAGGTATAAAATTCTATCGTAACTGGCTGACTGACTGATTCATCAACGGAAATTCGAATGTTTAGGGGGTACAAAAGGATAAAAACGGGTAAATTCGGTAACCTCATATCTCCTCAACTAGAAAATATTCAAAAACAGTATCTTTTAAACCAGTGAACATTAAAAAAATATTTTTGACTCCTTCATAACTTAACGAAAAATAAAACTATGAATTTAGTACTTTTTGGATATTCGGACGTTTAAGGGATGAAATTTGTACCTATTTTTGGTATTTTTTTTTTTTTCATAAAACATTGTTTTTGCTTTATTAGTTTACTAGCTATATCCAGTGTGCTTTGCTAACCTAAAAGCAACATGCATAAATAAAAAAACCACTTAACAATTTGGCAGATTCTAAATACAACAATTTTCCAGATTTATAATATGTTACATATGAGAGATGTCAAGCAAATTATTGCAAGTTCGCCAATTTCTATCTGTCGCTAATTTCTATCTATGTATCTATGAAAAATTTTAATAATATAAGAGTTTCCAAGAAATTTTATATTTAATTCATATATGTTGTGCCAAGACACCCATTGAAAGTCCGCCCGTTATTCTCTAAATGTTCAAATGAATATCAAAGTTCTTCATGTAAAATTTGAAGATTCTAGCTCTAATAGTTTCTCAGATATACGATTTTTATACCCTACACCACTTTAGTGGGGAGGGTATATTGGATTTGTGCTGATGTTTGTAACATACAAAAAAAATATTCGTCCTACCTTAAAGTATACCAATCGGCTTAGAATCGTTTTCTGAGTCGATTAAGCTATGTCCGTCCGTCCGTCCGTCTGGCTGGCTGTCCTTGTGCGCAAGGTACAGGTCGCAATTTTCAAGATAATTGGATGAAATTTGGCACGCACGCCTATTGAAAATGGTTAAAATCGGTCCATTATTTCACCTAGCACGCATAGAACAGAACCCCCCGAAAAGGGCTTCTGAGCTCATAATTATGTTAAATATACAGATATATCGATAAAATACGGCACAACTAAGTTTTATAGAAGTCTTGATGACCCTGCCAAATTTCATAAAGATCGGGCCCCATTTGACCCTAGCTCCCATACAAAGTCCCCTTCAGGAAATTACTTGAATGTCCCAAATTAACTTATAAACACAAATATCGCGATGAAATTCAGCACAATAAAATATTATGAAAATATAAATATATTCACAAAATGTTATCGGGCTTGGTCCATATTTGCCCCTAGCCCCCACATAAAGCTTCTTTCAGAAAATTAGTTTTTCATCCATAAATTGCTTAAATGGAACAAGGGAATATTGAAGATAAATGCTTTATTATGAAAAATAAATCACATTTAATATTCATAACTGGTGTAGGGTATCATATGGTCGGCCACGCCCGACTATACTTTCTTACTTGTTTCTATTTGATTCATGTGGGGCCTTCAAGCTCCCCAGATGAAAGTCCGCATTTTTTCCTCCAAAATATTCAGATGAATATTAAAGTAATTTGTGCAAAATTTTAAGAATCAAGTTCTATTAGTTTCCCAGATAAACTAAATTTTATATTTAATTCATATGAGAGGTGCAAAGTTCCCCATTGAAAGTCCGCCCGTTATACTCTAAATATTCAGATGAATGTCAATATTCTTCAAGTAAAACTTTAAGATTCTAGCTCTAATAGTTTCTCGGATATACGAATTTTTCTATTTAATTCATAAGGGGGCTTTAAGCCCCCCAGATTAAAGTCCGCTTTTTTTCCTCCAAAATGTTCAGATGAATATTTAATTATTTCATGAAAATTTTGAAGAATTTAGTTCCATTAATTTCCCAGATAAACGAATTTTTGTATTTAATTAATATGGGAGGTGCCGCTCCCCTCATGGATAGTCAATTTATTACCCAAAATGTTTAAATGGATGTTGAAGTTATTCGTACAAAATTTTAAGATTCTAACTGTAACAGTTTCCAAGATAATGTCCTAAATAATCATATTGGCACTAAAGTGGCCAATGACTCTAACTGTTATATTATCTCAAATATACAGGTTTAATATTTACTTAATATGAGCGTGGCTCCTCGCCCACTTTGAATTTCGAAATAAAAATTAGCCTATTACCTATTCCAGACATACAGGAATAAGCAGTGAAAATTTGAAGAAAATCGGTTCAGCCGTTTAGTAGTCTATAACGTTCAAACATGCAAACAGATAAACATACAAACAAACACACATTCATTTTTACATATATAGAAGATAGATACCCAGCAAAAAATTTTCCAAAAAGTAATCGAGTAAAGCAATTAAGCATTTTTAAAGAATTGGTTACCATTTGCATTACCTAATCGATTCTTTTTACAAGGCATGAGACTAAAGTAAGGTGTTTATAGGAACCGATTATAATTTTGACATGTATAAGGGATTCTAGCTGCTTTTTATAGAAATAGTTTTATTTTTATTTTCAAGAACTAGTTATTTTAATAAAAAAAGAATTGATTGTTATCGGCATTATAAGAACCAGTTCTGGATACCTTGTGTAGAATTAGTTTTATTTTTATTTTCAAGAACTAGTTATTTTAATAAAATATATAATTGATTCCTTTCTGAGTAAGAAGAATTACTTCTAAATAAATTTTAATAATTAGTTTTTTTATCAAATAGAACTACTTCCCGCTTAAAAATAATAATTAATTATTTTGATAATTAAAAAACAAATATTTTATTTAATTCATTGTAAAAAAGAAAACATTAACGATATTTACATATATAAATGTTCAGAAATAGAAATGTAGTTTTTATATAATTAATATAATTATATAATTAAATATAACATCAATAAAATGAGGAAGTTTTTATGAAATAAATTAAAAGTCGTCGTATGCTAAAGTTAATTTGAAGAATCTGTTTCATTGTCGAGTTTTTTACGTTTTAAGCATTCAAATTTAAAATGTTTATTTTTCGCTGCTTTAAAGGCTTTGCGAAGTTCCCCATAAAATTCTATCTCAGTACCACCTTCGGATGACGTTGCCACTAGAAAAGAATAAATATTTCAAAACATATAATTAATTAAACTAGTAAAATATTACCGTAAAACTACTTACGAAATAAAATATTGATAACCTTTTTAAAATCCAATAGCCGCTTTTTGCCTTGTATACCCCGAACATTATAATTTATGATTATATCCTTTGAAAATATGTTTGATATTCCTTTTTGTAGCCCTTTGGTACCCAAGACTCGCTTTACTGAAGATACCTATAGAAATAAAAAATAAATAAATATATACATATGTGGGTAAGTAAATAGGGACTCACAATTTCACTTTTATTCTCTGAATTTATCATTTTCTCAAAATTGTTTAATTCATCGTCAGATGATAATGGGAAAATTGTAGTAAATTTTGGTTCTTCAAAGTGGGACTTAAATGACGAGTTAAGAGCCACTATTTGTTTCGAAAGCACCTCACTTAAAACATTGTTTTGGTTGATTATTATATCTGAAATTATTAAAATAATGTTATAACTACAAACTTATTTTTATATGTATATGTATGTAAATATTTACCTTTCAATTCAGTAATTCCCCCAAATATGTTTATACTGATCGTATTCTGTTGTTGTAGTAATTCCAATATTTTGGTATTTTGCTCATTTTGCTGTTGTATCATATCTGAAGGAGACAATAAGATAATTAAAAAATTATTTTTCATTTCATTTACATAACATGATTTTAATACTTACTTTTTAATTCTACAAACATTTCTAATTCATCCCCTTGTTTTTGTGGCTTAGATTTGTTTTTAGCTGTGAAAAAGAAAATATTAATTTTGTTTAAATTTCATGTAAAGGTGTGCAGTAAAGGAATTAACACAAGTTTGTTTTCGAAAGGCAATCCTACAAGTTTTGAAGAAATATTTGAAATATTATATGTTTCTTCTGCACCCAATTCATTTAAACTTACTAGACAAATTCCTATTTCTAAAGAATTTATTGGATAATGAAAAAAATTTTTTGGATTTAAAAATGGTTTTCCTTTAAAAGAAGAATCGCCATAACTTAAGTTTTTCTTTTATGTTTAATTTAGTTTTTTTTTCTGACACACTAAAATTACTATTTAAAACTTCATTACTACCACTTCCTTCTATTCTATTTGTTACCGTCAAATTAAATAGTTTTTTTAACTTTTCTTTTTCTTTTTTAATGTTTTTATAAAATTGCGACTTACTCGACATATTATTTTTTTTATTTTTTTTCACTATTTAATTTAAACACTTTAATTTGTACACTTTTCTATCTGCTCACTTCAAAGAACGGCTTGTTTTTGATCAAAACAAGAAAAATGTGTATACATATTTACCAAAAAGATCCGTTAGAAATACTCTCACATAGTACAAGCATAAATTTGTTTTTGTTAAAAGAAGAATTAAATAACAGAGAACAATTTTATATTATTAGATTTCAACTTGAATTATTTTATATAAAGATGTAATCGAGATGATTTAAACGCATCTTATTTTAGATTACCCCGCAGCTTCTATTTTTGCTTGGAAGAAAGTGAGGGAGAAAATAAATAAAATAAAATGCAGAATTATTTCGGCTTTGCATTACATCAGAAAATATTACACATTAACTTAAGCAATGCCATTTTATTTCCGAATTAAGGTTTTAATTCTTTTTGTATTAAAAAGGAATCGAGTTAAACGAAACACTATTTATTTCAAATTGCCATCAACATTACCTGTTTCGTCAAGGGGAAGCGAATTTACAATATATTTTTTTTTTTTAAAACCAGTTATGCTTTTTAAATCTGTTTTACTTCTTAAGATAATATTCCGATTCAATTTTTGATTATTATAAGTGATAAAGTAAATAGGAATTTCAATAAAAATTATATAATTGGTACTAAATAAATTTAAGAATATATTTAGATACATATAGAATTAATGGAAAAATTAAATAAATATTTTTGCAAAAGAAGTAGTTACATTGCCGTCAAAAATAATCATAGTGGTAATCTATGAAATATATATCGAAATTTTTTCAATAGTAATCATGCATGATGTAATTGGTTATTTGGAATGTGTTCTCTTTTAAACTAGCTAGAAAGACGCATGTAATTAATTACATAGTGAAAATAAGAACACATTCTTAATTTCCCTTTAGAAACTAGTTATATATATGGTAATTTTTTTCATTGTTCATTGTAATGCAAATGGTAATGCAGAAATATAATTTGGCAAGCAGAAATGTAATGCATTAAATGGCAATGAGTTCTAAATGTAAGGCCCAATTTTTTGCTGGGTAGATATAGATATGAGTGTGGCTCCTCGCCCACTTTGAATTTCAAAATAAAAAGTAGACCAAGGAGTAAATGAGAACATATAAAAGGGGACTTTTTGGAACCACATTAAAAGCAAAAATAAATTACATAAATATTCAATCAGCTGTTCGAAACAGTGATGGTTATTGAGAGGCACTTTCTTTAAAATGGTTAAGTAGAAAAAGTACCAAAATTAAAAAATATATATGTATAAGTAATAGCGTTTAACTCATCAAGCGTTTTTTTCCTGTTATTTTTAAAATTATTTTCAACTTTTTTTTGAAAGTATTGAAAAATTTAAAGCTACTAGCACTTGCAAAATTGAAAGTATCGAGCTATATAAATTGCATTAAATACAAATCAATGATTTTAAAAATATACATTTCTAAACTAACGTCTGTATTTAATGAGATGGAGCTCTCAAATTTATACCATTAGAAAACCCAAATTGTTGTCTACAAAATTTTATGTAATATGAAGTAACGTTATATCGATATATTTTTCAGAAAATAGAGATAACGCCTGGTTCTATAATTATAATAAGAAAGTATTTTAAACAGTTTAACTTTGATCTGTTGGAGTTTGATACGTTATTAACGTGTTTTCTATAAAATTTTATGTATACACATTACTAACATCACATATGCATCCTAAGAATTTAAAAGGTAAACAATTTATTAAATTTAAGCATAATAATATAAAAATTCAAATTTGTGCATACAAATAAAAAAAGTATGAAAAAAGGAAATTTGTACCACAGTTCTAATCTACATACAAAAGTGCCATCACTGTTCTACAAATGTCACGTAAAAACGTTATAAAATTCTATTTTATACAGATTGAAACGTTACGGCTACATTTCGGTAAGCATTTTCATTGTCTTTTCTTAATCAAAAACGATCAGCTGACACGTTTTCTTACAGTTATAGTACGTTGCGCTTGGGTAATTCTACCTTAAATACTTTATTAAACACATTATTATTAAATACAATCAGTGTTGCCACAACAAAATTTTTTTCTAACCAAAATTTGAATAAAAAATAACCAAATTAAGAAAAAAGTAAACAAAATTATTTTTATTTTTTTCATGTTTACATTTGGACATTAAAATAACAAATTCATTTTCTGAAGTGGAACTTGTAACTATGTTAAATTTCGTCGCTAAACTGGTATTATGAAGACAGTTATGAGCGTTAATGTAATTTTCTGTACGGTCAATTATGGACCAATTCTCATAAAATCTGACAGAGATATTTTAGTTCCTTTAAAACTTGATTATGTTGAATATTGTTGCTATATTGAGCTTTAAAGCAATTTTCTGAGGAGACTCTTTATGAGGGATAGAGTCAATTATGTACCGATCCTCATAAACTTTGACAAATACATTTCCAATAAAACTTTTTATATTGAATTTCATCGCTATCGCTGCTTTTTTAAGCAATATAGTAATTTTCTGAATAGGGCATAATATGGGGGCTAAGTGAAATCGTTGACCGATATTTCGCATTTTCAATACCAATCAAACTGGGTCAATTAAAAATATTTTGGCAAAATATTTCAGTTTTCTATCTTGTTTCTTTTCGACTCTATCGTGTTTTCAACAATAAATATATGTCTCTTCGCGGATTCGTTATCAAATGTAATTAATATTTATTTTAAAAAATAACTGAGTTTTTAACGCGTTTTAGCGCAATTCAAAAATACTCCACATATGACTTTTTGGAAAACAATTTTAAATTATAAAATTCTTCCCATTTTATGTACAGATTTGGAGAGTTCGTTCGAAATTTGGGTTTAAATTATAATACCTGTTAGCATTACATTCATAACTTCAGCAATATTTGTAAACGTAATCTATCCAAATTATCCGACAAATTGACCAAAATTTAGAATTCAAGACGGTAAAATAAAAACTAGTGTACAACATCATCTAGAAAATGTAAATAAAGAACTAAAAGTCATGGTGAGATAGTAGAAGTCAAAGGTCATGAGTATCAAATCTTTGCATATATCGCGATTATTGTTCGTCGTACGAGTTTAGATGTTATTACAACTTTTGTATACAATACAATATCATTTTCCTTAGCTATGTTACTTAAAAATATCAGTTGATTGATACTTTAAAGATATTGTGATACAAGTCTACTAAGTACGTAGACTATTCCCACCAAATTCCATTAAAATCGAAATGCGAAATACAGCCTACTTCGTTTTTTCATATAAGTATCGCGAGTTCTTTACATAAAAAGTTCCTATAGAAATATTAAAGGAAGGACGGACGAGTTTGAATCGACCCAAGAAGTGATTTTAAGTTCATGGATGCACCAAAAGTAGAGAGAGGATTCATTATTCACGGTGTTAGATTGACTAGTGTAAATAAAATAATATTACGGTGTTGTTATGATTTAAATCAACTCATTTAATATGTGGAAAACTCATAGGTACTTTTGCTAAATCCTAACCAATTAAGATATCGAAAAATACCTTTGTGCACATCATAAGTATAACCAGTAGATGTTCAAATTGCAGTAATAAAAAAATTTCGAATAGTAAAAAAAAAAAATTCCACATATTACCAAAATTCAAAACAGCACGATATGTATATTTACATAGATGATTTAAAACTAGAGATAAAAGAAGTTTTTTTAATTTTATTTTTAGAATAAAAGCAAACAGCATTTAGTTCAATTGTTTGCAAAAAATAACCAAAACGAAAAAATAATTCACATGTACACATGGAAAATAAAAATAACCAATTTTGGTTAATAATAACCAAAGTGGCAACACTGAATACAATATTCAAATTTCTGACATAATCACTGGTGTATGGTATCATATCGTCCATAATATTCTTACTCGTTTTTCTATAATATTGAGGAATTTCTGCATCACCCTGATTTAATGAAAATCTATACTTTTTCGTTCTTCAACTGTTTTTGATTGCCTGTAATATTGAGACTAAAATCTTTTGATATTGCACATATACATATATATATATTTACAATAATGATATGTATTTTATTCCATTACTATCAGGGTAGCGAAGCACACTTGGTTTAGCTAGTTTTTAATAAAATCGCTAATTTGGGTCAGAATCAAGGAAAAGGCCGATATTTAATTTTTTTTAGTAAGGGGTGTTTGTGCTTTTGGGTGACGATATGTGCTACTTCACATAGAAATACTAAAATATAGTTGAAGTTTGTATAATTATTATTATTTTCGGTTTTCATTTTTTAATACAGATATAATGCCAGAGGTTTTGATTTGAATCGCAATTTTCCTGATTATTTTAAACAAAATAATAAAAGAGGACAACCGGAAACAGATGCTGTGAAAGATTGGATTTCTAAAATACAATTTGTTTTAAGCGGCAGTTTGCACGGTGGTGCTTTAGTAGCAAGTTATCCTTATGACAACACTCCAAATGCTAGTAAGTATATTTAGTGTTAATTGTTCCTACCTTCCAATGTTACCAATTTAACTATTTCATGGCTAAATTTAGCACATTTCAATCTCGTTTAATTAATTTTGCCATTAGATATTAAATATTCACAGAAAAGCTAAAATTTGTCGTTTTTTAAAGACTAGGTACCGAACCTAGGGTTCCATAGCTTAAAGCTACTTTCACAATGATAGAGTACTCCCGTCTGGAGTGAATTAAAAAGAGATAGTCAAATTTAAAATAACAAAAAGACTTTTATAACAAAATCGAAATTTCTTAAATAATTTTAAATTAACCTTTTACTTATAAAATATTTAAATAAATAGATATACATACATATTGTCACCTGAAATGCAAAAGGGCGTAACAACACTTTTAAAAATTTTACAGGAGAGACAAATAACTAAATAAAATGAAAATTATTGTTGTTAAAAAATCGAGTTTGGAGTTTATGAACTGGAGTGACACACCTTTTATTAAACTTTTTTGTTTTTCCTAATTAATTAACAAACACATAAACTTTAGTTGAGAAACTTTTTCTTAATTCTCTTTTAAAGTTTCCTTAGACCTCGTTCACACTGGGAATCTTTTTTTGGGAAATTTTTGATATTTGTGTGTGAGAGAAAGAAAAAGAAATAGCAACCATCTCTTTCTCTCACACACAAAATCAAAAGTTTCCCAGTGTGAACCAGGTCTTTATGTCCACACATAGAAATTTTTGTTTCAGAAAGTGCCCGTCTACACTAGAAATTTTTTTGGGAAACTCTTTTTACCCGTATTACGCCCTAAGTATTTCTAAAACTTTAAACATTTACATAAATAATAAATTTTTATCCTTGAACAAACAATAATCTATATAAATATAAGACAAACAATACAAATTTCGCCCCAGTTTTTCTCCTTTTCCCCCATTTTTTGGAAAGATTTTGCCAAAATATGTTCCAAATTTGAAGAAAATCGGTCCAGCCGCTTAGGCGTGATTGCGGAACAAACAGACTTACAGAGAGATTTTTATAAAATATATATTAGGATTTAAACATAAATGTTTTTTTTTTTTTTCAAATTGAAATAGATTTTGTTATTTAAAATGAAACCCCAGTTAACCGGTTTTTTCTGAATTTGAAAACCGGTTTTTTGAAAATGTCGAATAATCGATTACCCTAATTATGTCCTAACATTAATAAAGAACGTGTTTTCATGCAGTAGACAATTATCAATCAAAAAGTTGATTTTTAATTTTTTCGTTGTTACTCCTTTTTGCATTTCAGGTGGCGATATATTTTATAAATAGATAATTGAATAAACACTTAGTCGCAAAACTCTACATACGACTAGATCTTTAAAATAAAACCTAACATTTTATTGAAACGCCGCGAAATTGTTAAAAAAAATTTACTAAAGAAGGTAAAAAAGGTTTTTTTCTAAAACTAATTAACGTAAACTTAAAAATCATAATTCATTTATTTTAACTATGTTTATTGAAAATAATCATAAAATTCAGTCTTTTTTCTTACAGCAAAAGTTAACATTCGATATTATGGAGGACGTTGTGAGATTTTTATACATCTTTAATAGCTTGAATGTCCTCCTTTTGCATCAAAAACTTCTTCTTTTTGGCATCGAAAAAAATTTTCCCATTCTTCCTTTAGAATCTTTTAACTGAGAAATAGACTACGCGCGCCTATTTTTAAGTTTTTGCTTCAAATGAGCCTATAAATCCTCGATGACATTAAGGTCTGACCATTCTCTAACAAGTCCCGAGATTTAATATTTTAACACTAGACATAAAATCGTGTTTGTGAATGTCAATATAGCCATGACTATTCATGACTATTCATAATTCACCCCCCACACCATAACGGAACCACCACCATGTTTTACTGTATTGTATACGTTCTAAGGCATACCCGCTTTCTTCATTCTCTGGCTCGACCTTCGTTTCCAAAAAGGTTAAATTTACACTCATCCTTAAAAATGACTCTTTCCCAAAACGTAGAGTCATTCAAATGAACGACTTTGTACTGAACGGCATAGTCGAAATGCTTCTTTTTATTAATAGGTCTAATGTAAGGCTCTTTTTTGGCTATGTATGAATTCAGTCCTACTTTTTTTTAAGTAGCGACGTACTGTATCAGCATGGACATCAATTCCATAATCATTTTTGATATCTTTTCTCAATTCTACACTACTTTTTAAGATTTTCAATAACATTTTTCGCCTTAGTCTTTCATCAAGCTTTAATGGACGTCCTGTTCGTGGCAAACTTTCATAGCTTCCCGATCTACAGTCGCGTATAACGAATTCTCGGTTATTACGAACAATTTTTCAAGTCCCGATATTTTGGCAACTATTTTCACACAAAAAACATCCTATACAACGAACTCGATTATTACGAATCCTCGGATAAAACGAACTACTTTTTCAGTCCCTGAAGTACAATTTCTTACAATTTTCCTTCTTTCTTCTTATGTGTTTAAATCATAAAAAAATATTTAGCTTTGATGGATAATAACTTAAATTTGTTAAGAAATATATGAACAAATAATTTCAATGGTTTTTTGTAAAGAATATTAAATAAATTTATAATTCATATTAGTTTAGTTACGTAAAATGTCATTTTATTTTTTTGTAAAACACAATTCTTAACACGCAATTAAATAAAATGTGCAAACAAAATGACAAAGCCGAAAATAAAGTACTTCTATACCAGATTATAAGAAAGTCATTACTAGAGTACTGCTAAGTAATGTAGACGATAGGTAGTAGTCATTGAAAAGTAAGGGTTGTGGAAGTACACCCATTACCGAGTTTTTGCTGGTTTACGCTCCAGTACACAGAGGGACAAATAAATATACACGCCTGGTACCAAATTGACACCAAAGTATAGTATATACATATGTACGAAAACCCATTAAAAAGTGATGTCGTACGTATGTATATAGTTGACAACGGATGTTATTAAAAAATTTGGTGTCGATTTGGAAGCAGGCGTGTATATATTTTTTTTCTCTGTGTAGTTATAATTAAACTAAATGAATTCAAATCATTGATTTAACAGGCTTACCATAACAATATTTACATACGATTTTATGTACACTTTTGTACACATTCTAATAAGCTACTTAGTGAAAAAATAACTTTTTTTTCCAATTCTATTAATCTATTAATCGTAAGATATGAAGAATGTTATTTAAACCAAAGTTGGCAACCGTTTCGAAATGATGATAAGGTAGCGATATCGGTATTTTGACTTATTTCGGTTTTGATATTTTAGCGTTAATTGAATTTTGGCTTAATTCGGTAACGGTATCTTAGTGTTATCGGTATTTTTATTTATTTCAGTATTGGTATTTGGTATCGCTATTTTATCGGTAACAGTAGTACTGCTGAAAAGGTATTTTAGCGGTAACGATAGCTTAGCGATAACGGTTCCCAACCTTGATTTAAACATTAAAAACAAAAAAAATTAAAAAAAATTATAAAAAATATAAAAATTTATGGACAATTTAACGAAATTAGCATGTCGTATGTAGAGTTTTGGGACTCGTTCTCTCGAACTCGTTGAACTTCAATAAATAAAATTATTGAAGACGAAGTTTTGGTATTTGCAATATTTTTTTAAATGTTTCTGTGTATTTAAGGCTATTCATATTTTTATATATACTTATATGGGGAATTTCATGTCAAGTGACCCAACTCAAAAAATCAAAGAGAAGTTTGACATTTTGGTTCCACAAGGTTTTTATTGAAATAAGTGTAATTTTTCACCTATTGGTCCTAGCAAAATTGTCCAAAGGAGTTCAGACAGCTATTTCTTCATTTTTTTAATTTAAAAAAATTCATTTTTTTTTTTAAATGGGCCCTTTTTATTTTTTTTTCGCTTAAAAGAAAGCTTATACAATTTCCTTAAAGGACTTTATTTTCTAACTCAAGAATAAATTTTTTTTCAATATTTGGCATTTAATTTTCCCCTATTTTTTTCAAAATGAACGTTTCTGTTGTATTTTTTTTTTTGCTCAAAAGAAAGCTTAGACCATTGCCTTTAAGAACTTTGTGATTACTTAGTGGGGTGCGAGTGGTATAAATATGGGCATTTCCACCGAAAAGTCCACCGTGGCTCAAAAACTAAAAGTAATCAAAAATAAAATTTCAACTTCTTTTATTACAGAAAAAGATTCAAATTTTATTAAATTAAAGACCCCAAAGCTTTTCTTAGCCACTATGATGAGAAATCGGAATTAAAAGTTACAATAATATTTCAGGCATATTTTTGCACCTTTAGTAGCATTTTCTTTTAATAGTTTTTATTATTTTAAAGGCTAATATTTAAATGGACTTTTATCGGAAAATATTAGTTGGAATAATAGTTATCTTAAAACATACAAATATGAAAAGATAAAGATCCTTAAAAGGAAAATTTTCGGTTTTCTTTCATAGACTTTTAAATGTCACGTTCGTCACGTTGAAACAGGATTTATCCCGATAACTTTTTAGTTGGCATTCAGAAGTATTCAAAACTTTGAATCTAAATCAAGTTTAGTATATAGAACTCAATTTGAAAGAAAAAAAAATAATTCTATGCGGGGTTATTTTTTTATAGAATTTCAAAGTCTGTCACGTCACTTCACATTACATAAATTTTCTCAAGTGCAACCTTCGAATTGTGAAATATTGTTATTTAAAAAGATGTGATATTTATGCAATTTATTCAGTTAGGTGATAGTTATGATTTTTTAGTTAATAAGTGGAAGAAAAAGCACAGAAATTCAACAAATGATATTTTTAAGAAATGTATGGAAAAAAAGTGATTTTCGGATATCGGCTTTATATGGGCGTTATGACCGATTATTGTATTATCATCAGAAGGGTCAGTAGTTGTACATTTGAAAGTTTTTTGTGTGTTTGTATTATCAGGATGGCGAAATTTTAGTTATATATCCAAGTTTATGGGTATATCAAATGTGGGCTTTGTATGGAAGCTATGCTAATCATGGACCAATTTTTAAAAAAATTAGGGTGAACGATTTTTGTGTATGTCAAAAATATTTGTGTTGAATTTTATGGTGATATAAGCATTTCTAAAAGTTTTATGTTAATTAATTTTAATTCTTATATTATTCTTATATGGGAGCTATTTTCAACTAAAATGTTATTAAACAGTCGAAATATATCTCCGATTCCAAAAACTTTCAACAATGTCCGTCCAAAATAAATCTATGGACTAATTAATTTTCAATAATATTGCAAATTTCATCATTGGAAATTTTTGTCACATCACGTCATGTCACGTCACACATAACGGCTTGTACAAAAAATCTGAAGACAATTTTTTAGTTCTAAAAGCTGAAAAACAATCAATAAATATTCCAAATTACAATAAAAAAGGTTTTAACCAAATAGCCAGGTGAAACTCGCAGATTTTTACATTTTTGTCAAAAAAGAAATAAGCAACTTCTATTTCTGTCACATCACGTCACGCACTTTAACTACTTATATCTTAGGGCCATTAAGATCTTTCAATTTCTTCTTCCGACCAGTTATAGAGCTATTGAAGCCCTATATAAAAATACAAGAATTTTTAAAAAATATATATGTATATATATATATATATTTTTCATCTTTTTAAAACGTACGACCGTCACGTTCGTCACGATGGAAATGCCCATATATAAAATATATTTTAACTCCAAAAGCAAAATTATTGAGTTAAAATATTATTATTTTTTTCATAAATGCCCCTTGCATAGAAAAGGTATACATAGAACTGAAACTGAGTATGACAAAACCTAAGTCTGCTGTCAAAAACCTAAGTCGTGAGAATGTATTAGTTGAAAAATATGTAACCCATCAAACACAAACTCTTTCGTTTAAAAAGTTTTTATATTTTTGTTTGATATTATATTTCGATATTTTATGAAATAATGTTTTGAATTGGCCATTTTTATTCAACATCAGTTGACCAATGTAAGAAAGATCTTCATTAAAAATTATTTTTAATTTTAAATAAACTCTTTGTGGTTGCTGGGTTGAGTCAATATTGACATTTGAAAATAATATTAAAAAAATAAAACCGATTGAAAAATTTGTTTTTTTTCTGAAAATGTTTTCAATAATTTTATGGGAAAACATAACTTTTAGCAGTGTTTATTGCAGCAGCAGGGGCTATTTTGCCAAAGGAATTGTGCTAATGCTAAAATTAACGCTTGATATGAACGATTATTGTTAATTTCAAAGCAGCCCAAATCCAGTCAAAATACACCCTACACCACACTAATGGGAACGGTATTTTGTTTATGTCTTAAAGTTTGTAACACCTGCGTCGATGTAATGATGTAATCCTCCCATAAATTAGCCTATTGAACTTTTTTGTAAGCGGTACATGCTATACAAGAATAGGGTATTTATAAAATTCGACTCAACAAATTTTATATATACGAAAATTTGACTATATATTGTTATAATGAGTAGTACATTCATTAATTAAGCAAACATCAATCTCTTGAATATAACTTCTACATTAAAAAATACTAAATAACTTATTGCTACTTACTTGCAATGTGGTAGAGTATGATGTATTCGGATACATTTTGTACTTTCATATTTTTGTTATTTTATGTAAACAAAAACAAAAATACTCATACAATTGTATTAAATTCACACAGAACCTGTACATGTGAGAGAGTAATATTTCTTATTCTCAGTCTCAGTTCTATTTATTTTTCTATGGCCCCTTGTCCCACTAAGTGACTACGAAGCTCTTAAAGGAAATGGCCTAAGCTTTCTTTTGAGTAAAAAAAAAATTCAACAAAAACGTCCATTTTGAAAAAATAGGGAAAAATTAAGTGCCAAATATTGAAAAAAATTTATTCTTGAGTTTAAAAATATTTTTTTGATGGATAACCCACTCGCATCCCATTATGGAACTATAAAGCCCTTTAAGGAAATTGTATAATACCTCATTTACACATACACAAAATCTAGTACTTATGAGATTTCGAGCCAAATCTAGTTAATTTTAACTAGATTTCCCATACAAAACAAAATCTATTTCGTTAAAATCTACTCAGAATCTAATAGTTTTTAGTGATGCAAAAAAAAAAATAAATAAAAAAATGTTTAATGAAAGAATGAAGAAATAGCTATCTGAACTCCTTTGGACAATTTTTGCTAGGACCAATAGGTGAAAAGTTACACACATTTGAATAAAACCCTGTATGACCAAAATATCCCCTCTGACTCCGGCAGTTCTTGACCGATAGAGCTGAAAATTTGTGTCCGGCCTACTATCCCATAGTACTAACCTTGGTGCATTTACCTAACCTTTATCCAAATCGGAAGACATCGATTTTTAAAGTTGGATCACTTGACACGAAATTCTCCATATATATATAGTATATTAGAGTGCTCCAAAAAAACGAAGTTGTGAATTTTGCGCCCCCCTCTAGAATTGTTCTATGTATTATAAAACTATGCCATACAAAAAATTAGGCTGATAGGATAACGTTAACAGGTGCCGCAACGGCTCTGAAGTTTCCAAGTGCATTTTGCCATTTAATAATAAACTTTGCAATTTAGTGTGAAGGCATCGTAATGTGCACAGAATAACCATTCCAGAAAGATATAAAACACAAACAGCGGTTGAAAAATTTAAAAGTTATTGCAAATTCCCCAGACCATTAACGTGTCTCACAGCACATGAATTCGAAATGTGACAAAAAATTAACATTTTTTAGGATATATTATAAAAACACCACCTTGTTACTTAAAACATATCTATAATAACTTGAATATTAGCTTTGTCTTTACGCAAACTTGTTCTCAACTATGGTTAAAAAAGTTTGAATTTTTCATTTTTTCAAAAATTACTGGAATTTATCGTATCCGATATTTAAAGGGTAATTTAACACTTTAAGGCACTTGGGAACAATTTAACACCAAAGTTCAAAATTAGAAAAAGCAATATAATTGGAGAAATAGGTAGATTTTCGACATAATATGTCTAAAAATACAAACTTATGTGTTCAAAAAGGGTTAATTCCAGAGTAAGTAATTTTTGCACTCCTGAATATTATCGTATATATAATTTTTTGTTTTATTTCTGTTATTCCTCTAATTATATAGAGCATTATTCAAATGGATAGTGTTTTTACGAGAGCATTACTCAAATGGATAGTGTTTTTACTGGAAATTCACAAATATTGCAAAATTTTGACTTTGACCTCCACATTATATGGTTTAAGATTGTCCGATTTATATAAAACTTGGAATATATTTTATATTACCTAGTCTATAATACCCTGAAATATATATACAACAGTAAAGAATTATATATAACAGTAAAGATTTAGTACGTATTCTCTAAAATATTACAAAAAAATGCGATTTTCCCGAAATCCGCCGAGTTCAAATCGCAGGTACAGATAAACTGTAAGAATTATTCGAGTAATTTTAGATATATTTTAAGTAACAAAATGTTTTTTTAGAATATATCCCAAAAAAAATCGACATAGTTTTACAACCCAAAGAACAACCTGACGGACAAATTTTTTTCCTTCATACAAGCTTGGAGCACTATAATGTATGTATGTGTGTATATACTCAGAACGATTAAAGCTATTCATTATCTAATGTTACCAGTATTATAAAGTCATGTTACAATTTTTTACTTACTTTAATCCAATATGACGATTGAAAGGAATATGTAGATCATCGGCTTTATGTGCGAGTGAGTAACTAAAACTTTAATAACGTATCACTAGGAAGAATGCATTCCAAAACGGATTGAAAACTAGTATCATTTAAAATAAAGCAAATCTAATTTCAATGAAATTTACCACATACTGAAATGTAGTGGATCCGCTCGTTATATAGTAAGTGATTGTGATTATTTTTATAAATACCAAATCACTCAGAATAACAGTTATAAAATGATTTTTTGTTTTTTATGCTTTGGAACGACTTGAATATTTAATAAAATAAATATTCTTTGCTTTTACTACCTTTTGTTATTAATGATTGCAGTAATACACAAACAATTTCTTTTGTGGTTGATCTGTATTACATCGAAATACTTTCTCTTGTATTTGGACTATGCATTTCCGTAGTTAATTTTCAACTAATCTTAGAAAAATTGTTAATTTAGTACTGTTGTTCCTTAAGGTATTTTCAGACTACAAAACACAATACAATTTTCTATTGTAAACATAATTTTTAATTTGATTTTAAAAAATATTACTGATATTTTTGACATACGGTGGGTATTTATAAATTTTTTAAAACAATTCAAAAACTTTCTTTTCAATCGTATTCGGTATGTATTTTATAAATACAATAAAAACAAACAAAAAGTGTAGAATATATTAAAAATAAGAACGAAAAGTACATAAACAATTGTGTAAACATAAAATGTATTTTTCGGATTGATTATTTTTAATCCGAATTATTTTCATAATATTTATAATTCGAAGTGTGTTAATACTCAGTATTGTAGTCTGAAAATACCTTTAAGGAAAGTGTGTCGAGAAACAAACATTACTTATTTACTTTAATATTAATTGTTATGATTCAAACGATTTTTTCTGATTTATTTTTAAAGTATGTTAAGACTTTAAAGTATGTTTATTATGTATATCAAAAATGTGGATATAAACCAAAGTGGACGAGTTATTTTCGGTCTGTGGTTTTTCGTCAGTTGCTCCAAAATTTCCGAACCAGGTAAAATTCAAAATACACTCGTATGGAGTAAATCAAGTTGTTCACTGTGTACTTTTGAATTATTGTTTCGAAAAAAATTAGTGATTAGATGTCCTCAGTAGTCATTCTGATACCTACATTTACTGTCAGACAAACCACAGATGATATAAAAACACCGATATAATTTTACAGTTGCCTTTCAGTATCCGTTGAACAAAATTTCCTATATTAAGGGTGAAAATGAATCCAAATCATTGTACATTTCCTTAAAGACATCCAATATTGTTAAAAAATAAACATTTAAGTTAATTAATATAGAATTTTAAAGATTATATTAATTTGGTTATTTTCACTACACTGAAAACAATCCATGCTTAACTTTACGAAATTTCGTAATATTTACAAAAATTTCGTGTATAATACGGAATATAATTTAATAAAGCCCTTTTCTAATTTTACGAAAGTACGAAAACCTTTCGTAGTATTTTTTTTGTAAATTTAAGCGAAATTAAACATAATGATATTTGTTCAATTCACAATCAAGTTGTATATTTTACCTACTAAAGTGTAGTAACAGTGATTGTGAAATAAACAATTGACAACACTTAACATTCTTACAACATTCGAAAAACATATGAAAAATTGTCGTAAGAGTTGTATGGAGCTTTTGCATAGAAAATACCAACAACATTGCACATTGGTTTAAAATTCGATTTTTTTTGGCCAAAATGTAATTTTTTAATACTCTTTTTTGGCAAATTTTTATGAGATCGATATAAAAAACATTTCAAATTATTAAAAAATTAATTTTGTTTCTAAACCTCGTTACTTCATGTAACTCAACTGGTGCTCAAACATTGAACTTTTTAGTATTGTTGAAAAATCTAGTGCATTTATTATAACTTAAGTATTTAATTAAATGATTCTGTAGCTTAAAAATAAAAACATTTGAATAAATTTTTTTATGAATTGTAAAACTGATGGTATGTATTTATTAAATGTAATATAATAAATTTCAAATAATAAACAGATATAGAAAAAACGATCTTTTCTGATGCATATTGGCAAATTTATTTTTTAATTTTATTTTTCGATAAATTTAAACTTTTAAAAAAATGTCAAAATTTGTCCAGCGAAAAAAGAAAATTCAAAAATAAAACGTAGTCTGTTAAATCAGAATGTGTTATTTTTTCTGCAGTAACATGCAATATCTGAAAATATAAATATGTATGTATATACATACGGTGAATCAATTAGTAATTTGCCTATGTAAAATTTTATAAATTTCAAGAAAAAACTTTTTCTGAACAATTATTTTTTTCAAAGTTAAGCAACTTGTTTGTTGTGTTTTTTAAAGAATATCTTATGTTTCAATTTTCTATCAAAAAAGTAAAATCGTGATATTAACTAACGAGATTTTTATTTTGCTTTTTAGGTTTTTTGTTTACTTTTTTAATATTGCTGTATAATTTTATCCAATTTTACATTTTTATTACTCCTGTATATTAAAATAAAATTTTATAGATATTTAAGTAGTGGTACGACTAAATTTGGAAATTTCTTTAACCGATTTATTATCTCATATACCTATAAGAATTTATCAATATTTGACTTAACATGAAATTTATCGTTTCTTTGATTTTATTTCGAAAATAATAAGTAATTTTGAAAAGGATACATGATATACTAGAAAATCAGTGGATTTGGACCTTAAGAAATGTTTAGTGGGGTATAAAATTACATCTTATAACAAAATTATCTGGGTTTTTGGTCATTTTATATTGATAAACAAAAACTACATTACGGAAACCCCATTTATTTGGGGAGTACTGTGTGAATTTTATTTAGAATTGTATTATATTGATTCTTATTTAATAAAGCTAACACTAAGTACCATCCTAGCCACTCTAAGTATGGGGATATCTCCGTATACCACTATAGAACTATTACATGCTAAAATCTTGATTTTCTACCTCATATTTTGAATGCTTTATTTTATGAATAAAATACAGTAGGCGTATTTGGATCTTGATAGTTATTCTTGATTTGGGTTCTAACTATATATAAGTTTATGTATTAGCTGAAAAATATTGCTTTTGTGGACCGTCTCTATTTGTAAATATCTAAATTAAGTATTTTTCCTGTACCACACGATAGTTCACTTTATATTGTTTCCATGCAACCTAAGCTCTGTTTAGAGGTCTAAATTTAAACATAGTGTTCGTTTAAGTTCGTATATGGACTTTGGAGAAGATAAATGAGGACTTCAATGGTTTTTGCTTGGATACAAGTCGCTCTCCTTTGGCAGTTAAAGATTTTGAAAGACAACTCAGTGCGATTTTTTAAATAATTCTTTGTGTTATTTCATCAATTTCTATATTTTATATTTTTTATGATTGATTAAACATCTCATAATTGAATTTCATTGATTTATACTTGTTTTAAAAATCTAAACAAATTTTTTATATTGGAATTGCCTCATTATTTCCCTTTAAACATTTTAAACGCAAATAACTACACAGTTTCACGCAATGAGGATATGATTTTTGAAAATTACAATTGAAAAATACTTAACACGTTAGTTAGTATGATGGTACATATTCTGAGCGGACACACAGGACTACGAGCACATCTATGCAAAATTGGACGTTCGGATTCAGACGAATGTAGAGCATGTGGAGAGGACAGTGAAACTCTGGAGCACTTTCTTTGCCACTGCCAGGCATTCGTCGAAATTAGATCCAAGTGTCTTGGAAGTGATGTTATTCCGGAAATAACATTCCTGACTAACACTGACTGGAAGATTCTTAGGAATTACGTTCAGGAAACTGAGTTTCTGAACACTGAAAAATAATTCTTTCAGTTTTTTTTTCATGATAAGGAGCGCACAACAGGCCCGATAGTGGCCTAGGATTTGATGTAGTATACATCCTCCTATCGACCTACCTACAATTGAAAAATACTTAACACGTGTCCTTTTAACAATAAATTCCAAAAAGCAATTAAAAAATAATTTGAAAAACCCAACGAAATTAACTGGAATTTTCAATATGCAAAATACTTTATTGACGTGCAAATTCTGATGAAAAATAATAAAATGCAACAACAAATGCACCAAAATTTGTATTTTAATATTTTTTTCTTGGTTTTCAAATTTTACACAATCTCTATTTTCAATTGGGAAACATAAATTGACTTTATACAAGTTTTTTTGAATTTTATTTATAAACAAAAAACAAAATTCTCTTAAAAAAAGGTAGGCAAAAAACTTAGTTGATTCACTGTACATATATTTCGACACAACCTCTGCCTCAAAAATTGTGATTTCGTGCAATTTTTGCTGTAAAAAAACATTAAGAAGTAGAATGAGGCTATTATTTTGCAATTAGACCTATCTATATCCATAAATTAGAACTAGTTCTGTATTAAAAATGTTAAAAAATATATATATTTATTATTCAAATTTAATTTTTTATCAAAATTTCAAAAAGTGTAAAATTTTTAATGATTTTGTGCTTAATAAAAGCATTCAAAGTCAATATTTACATTATTTTTTTAAATATTTTAAAGTTACAATAAATAAAATTATAAATATAACACGTATTTTTTAAATATTCGTATATAACTAAAACAAAGACGTAACTTTCTCACAAAAATTTGGCTATATATAATCTATATACATATACATGTATTTATATATACATATATACATACGTATATAAAAGAGTAGCGTTACTGACTGACTGATTCATCATCGCACAGCCCAAACGGCTGATCCTAGAATCATGAAATTTTGACAGTAGATGTGTTTTTAGTTACATAGATCCACTAAGGAGGGATTTTTGGAAATTTGTACATTTAGGGGTAAAACCGGGTAAAACAGGTTTTCTTAATTATCTTACACAATATTAGTGATACAAGAAAAAATTTAAATACACCTGTATCTACTCTTTAAATGAGCAGAGGCTGTCTGGTACTTTTTTGAAATTCGTACTTTTAAGGGGTGAAAATGTGTAACAAAGGTGATTTCGG